ATACGTTGTAATCAAATGACTTTCCGATCAACAGGGCAGACACCAAGCTAGTGAATGTCTAATAGAAGAGTTGGGAGTAGTTTTTCAGCATTTCAAATGTCCTCTAATGAGAGCAAAAGTAGGAAGGGTAGATTTGTCTTCACAATTATTTATTTCTTATTCGTCAAAAAATAATTCGATCATGTGGTTTGAACCATGACATCTTTAAACAATGATATGAATAATTACCAGTTATACTAAACGAATTTAATGTATCTTCTTAAACTAAAACATATCGAAACCTAAAAACTTAAAATTATATGACTTTTCCACTATGTTTAGCTAGCTCACTAACACCGGTAAGTATTTCTTAGGTGTTTGATATTTCTTTTTTCATATTTAATTATTTTAATTAAATTTTAATAATTAATTTAACTGCTGAGTACAAATACACATTTCAAATATTTTGAATACTTTAACATACACATCGTAAATATATTATATTTAAATGTCATTCCGACCAACGGGTCGAACACCACACTATTTTATTTTAGTATCAAAGTATTTGATAAATTTTATTTATAAACTGGGTAGTATGAAAAAATCCTAAAGGAAAGATATTCAATAAATAAATAATTTTTTAATATAAATTTGAAAGTGAAAATAATTATAAATAAACAGCACCAAGAATGATTTTCAACAAAAATAATAATAAAAAAAAAGAATAGAAGAAGCAAGTGGATCTCTTCCCCCCCCCCCCCCCCTCCAACTAGCATCGGGCCTGCTCTCTAGGCCGGTGTTTGATTATTATGAATTTTATATGTGTTGCAACTACTTATAATGTGGGTAAATAGCAAAAATTAGATATATATACACGAAGAAAACATTTATGATTGATTTTTTATATAGTCCAATACATTCATGAAAATGTTTTCCAGTATTTATGATATTTGTTGATCACGATACAGGTTTAGATAGGAATTTGTATAATTTGAAAGGACATATTGTGGATTGATAGTCACCAATAAAGGATCTAAATTGTTAGTTTCAAATTTGATATTTTGTCTCGTAAATTCCAAATACACTTAATAAACACAAAAGTTTAGGGGCATGAATCAAATACTTCAATAAATTGAAAACTAAATATCATGAAGATCTTATGATTATGATTCCATGATGACTAAAACATACCGACTTTTGAGATCTCGCATCCAGAGAAAAGTTTGATAACATATTCAACAAAATTGTTGCTTCCTTGCCACAATATGTCAAGGAGTCCCACTCCTCATAGTTCCAAAAAATCATCTTCAAAATTAATTGGTACATGACTAACCCCAAAATTCAATTTGAAATATGAAAAAGTTAGCTTGTAGAGCTAAAAGGAAAATACAAATGTTCTTGCAATTAATATCACCTAAAAGGTCATATGAATTTAGGAGTTGGGAAGGCAAATTTGACCGACAAAAGAAAGTGCATTCCATAGAGACTCTAGTAGATTACCACATTTTAAAATTTAATCAGTATTTACAAAATTGTATTGTATCCACAGTCTGACCGGAAAAGGATTATTAGAACCCAAGCTTGTAGGCAGTTTTAGTGATATGAAATGATTGAACCATGGTTTCAATACTCAATATCTAATCCCTAACTTTTCGCTGCAAACTCACGTACGATTTTACAAAATGTATACAAATATAAATCAAATAGGTAAAAACAACTTTTTGTGCGAACGGTGATGACGGAATTTGATGGATTTGAATCGGATTTGTCGATTAGTTGTCGGTAGAGTGGAGGAGTGGCTGCAAACTGATCTTTCCAGAAACTCTGCTCGGTTGCAATTTTGGATTGGGGACGATAGAATGAGGCCCATATTATGTAATAATGAGGCCCAAGTCAAGGAAATGACAAAACGCATAGCCTGCTGCCATGTTGGCCCATCTGAGGCCCAAGTCAGGGAATCCCTTATCTGTTACTGTCTCCAATGGAAGCAGGCCTGAATTTAATAGATTTCTGAAACGCTGCACTTCATTAATGACGGGACGGAAAGACGAAATTAGCCTTCCGTGAATGCCTCTATAGCCAACAATTTTGAAATGCTGCAGTTTGGAGTCATGAAACTTTTCGATCAGACTTCAATATTATAATATTTTCTCATCGAGTGTTTCTTTGCAGTATACACAGAAACTTTTCGATCTCAGATTCACTAGGAGTATCAGAGATTGGCTCTTCACTATAAAAAAGAAAGGGTTTGTCTTTCGACTGGGAGATAAGAGCATTAAATAAATCAGTATTCTATTCATTTTCCATCGGCTATAAAAGACCATTAAATAAATCAATATTTTTTAATTAGGTGTTCCTTCTGTGGAGTATATACAAAAACTTTTCCATCTCAGATTCCCAGATTTACTAGGAGTATCAGATGATTGACTCTTCATTATAAAAAAGCAAGCGATTGTCTTTCGACTTGGAGATATGAGCATTAAATAAACTAGTATTCTATTCATTTTTTGATGGTTATAAAACCATTAAATAAACCAATTTTTTCTCATTAAGTGTTCATGTGTCACCAGTATATAAGAAAACTTTTCCATCTCAAATTCCCATATTCACTAGGAGTATCAGAAAGTATAGTATACAAGGAAACTTTTCGATCTCGAATTCTCATATTTACTAGGAGTATCAGATGATTGGCTCTTCACTATAAAAAAAGAAAGCATTTGTCCTTCGGCTTGGAGACTAGAGCATTAAATAAACCAGTATTCTATTCATTTCCCCGCGACTACAAAAGACAATTAAATAAACCAATATTTTCTCATTAAGTGTTCCTATCTCTGCAATATATAAGGAAACTTTTCCATCTCAGATTCCTAGATTCACTAGGACTGATTTCTTACCTAATTGTTAAATTGAAAGCGTTACATAAGGCTTCCGTAATGACTTAGCACTTTACGCAACGCGAGGTTAATACTCATTGTGTAAAAAGACATTCTATTACGTAAAAGTTACTAACCATAGTTATTTCTTATGTATTATTTAAATCGACAGTATTATATTACGTAAAACTTCCATAATGACTTTACACTTCATGTAATTCGATGTTAATATTCTTTATTAACACTTCCGTAATGACTTAGCACTTTACATAACGCGAGGTTAATACTCATTGTGTAAAAAGATATTCTATTACGTAAAAGTTACTAACCATAGTTATTTCTTATGTATTAGTTAAGTCGACAATATTATATTACGTAAAACTTCCATAATGACTTTACACTTCGTGTAATTCGATCTTAATATTGTTTATGCAAAATAACCCTACATTACGGAAAGCTTTCTTCATAACCTTGACAACTGTTATATAATCTAACAATATGTTAAAAATTATAAAATACCTATTATATTTTATGTAGGGTAAATTTCAAGGTTGATCACTAGAAGTGCTAAAAAAGTCACGTTTAGTCACTAAAAGTATTTTATTCTATTGGTGATCACTAGAAGTGGTTAAACAATCACGTTTGGTCACTCTCCGTTAGTCACCGTTAAATTTATCTGATGTGGCAGTCAACTCTGATAGTTGATCGTTAAATTACGTGACGTGGCGATTAAAATATAATAAAAATTAATTTTTTTTCCATCGCATCAATACAATTATAAAAAATAGGACATAATTTTTGAAATTTTCCTCCACCACCCACCAATTATCAATGACCTAGCATTGTCGCCGTCGTGTCACTAGGTTTTTTGAATTTTCCGTCGATTCAAAAACTGGAATTGGAGTTCGCAGCCCTCGCCTCCTCTTCCTCCAAACTCCACCATCCCGCTCTACTTCGTTCTCGCCCAAAATCCTTTCATCCAATGCGGCGACCACGAAGAACCCGAGCATTTCTTCTTCGCCCCCATCACAAACTCGTCGATCCCGATTCATGAACCTTTGTGACGGCCGCCTCCATCTCCATCCTCCGCTGCCACCATGTCATACTTACCTGATTTCCAGCTCATTGGTGGAAGATCGTTGAGAAACTACCCATGGATTCAACGCGACCGAGAAAAGAAGCGACGGACGCAGCGAGGAGCTGGAGCTTCGAGTGCGCAGACAGATGGATGAGGAGGACGTAGAAGAAGAAGAAGAATGCATGTTTTCCAAAGTTGTTTGTTTCTGGGTAATCGCTACCAGAAAATTCAAAATCCCCAATTTTTACCTTAAAACCCCTAATTTAGCAGCCCTTCCCTCTCCCCTCACATCTACATGGTCCGCACCCTCCTCTTAATTGACGATTCGGCCATGGGCCGGTGGAGAAGCCAACAATGGAGCTGAACTGAAGCATCCGCCATCACTGTTGACGGGGTACGAGACTTGCAACTAATTATATTTTGCTCGGCCTCGCCTAGCCTTCGTCGGAGCTGCAAACGCTCGATGGGTGGTCCCGGTGAGAGGCGGCAGAGTTGGGCAGGGGAGGATGGGATAATGATGCCGAAACATGGGTGGTGAAAAATTAAAAGAATTATATCTTTCTATTTTTAATAACTGTAGTGATGAGGTGAAAAATAATTATTTTTTTATATTTTAATTGACATGTCACTGATTTAACGGTCAACTATTAGAGTTGACCGCCACATCAGATAAACTTAGCGGAAACTAACAAGAGTGACCAAATTTTAACCACTTTAAGTAACCACGAATGAAATAAAATACTTTTAGTGACCAAACGTGAATTTTTTAGCACTTCCCTTTACCAAACTTTTAATTTACCCATTTTATATGTAATGCAACATGAAACCTTCTATAACATGTAAAATCCTTTCTGTCTCCACCGGAGACGAGGAAACTTTTCCTTACAGGCTTAAACCCAAGGCGTTTGCTTTTTACCTGTTTCATTTTCCGGCGGCTATATAAAAAGTATAAACCAGATGACGGCAAGCAAAGCAGGGCATTCATTTTCCGGCTACTCTGAGAATCCATTCGGTAGTTGGCATTGCAATTTTCTCAAGCAAGCATGGGAGGAAAACCCAGGAAGCTTCCAATGGAGAAGCGTGAGAATCCGGTGCAGAGATCAACAACATGCTCGAAAAGGCGGAGAGGACTGCTCAAAAAGGTCGCCGAGCTCAGCTTGCTCTGCGATGCTAAGGTAGCTGTTTTCGCCTCTTATCCTAGCAAAACGGAGAAATTTGAATCCGTGGGCTACCCCTCCGTCGATTCCGTCCTCGATCTCGCAATCCATGGTGGCGGCGAGCGATGCAGTAATGCTTGGGAAGGAGAGAAGGAGAAGAGGGTTAAAGGGTTGTCATTGTTGATGGATATTCAGGCTGATGAAACCCCTGTGATGAAATCGGAGAAAGGGGATGATACAGCATTATGTTGGGACGAATTCAGTAGAGAGCTAGACGAGATGGCGAACAGGGGTGACGATTTGAAGACAATGCTGGATGTATTGCGGAAGGCCAAGGAGAAAGCGGAATCCAAGTTGAGGGATTTAGTCGAGCCGAAACTGGGGCGGACTACTGGCTTAGGGGAGTCTAGTTCATGGAATCAGAAACAGAGACCGGCTGAAATCAACAATTCGACGAATTCGGAGAGTAATGATTTGTGGGTTTGGTCTCACCAACATGAAACTGAACCTGCAGAATTGTATTCCGGTTTTGCTACTGGGAATGGGATGTCTGACAATGCACCGTTCGTCAACAACGCCGGGGAATTTACATACCAGAATCCAGAGCTTCATCAAGTTGAAATGTTGAGGAGCAACCAAGATGAGATGAATCTTCAAGCTCAAGGGTTTGGTCTTTCCAATGCTGGGGAATTTACGTATCAGAATCAAGAGGTTCATCAAGTTACAATGTTGATGAGCAACCAAGATGAGATGAATCGTCAAGCGTACCAGAGTCGAGAGCTTAATCAAGTCGCAATGTCGAGGAGCAACCAAGATGGAATGGATCTTCAAGCTCGAGCATTCGGTCTTCCCAATTCAGCAACGGTACAAGGGCATGACGATTTTAATGTCGATGATCTGTTCTCTCATGACCTGACTTTAGATCCTACTGCATTGTGGGAACTCTTAGACTAGATGTTTCAGCGTCATTCATGTAACTAATTAATCGAAAGTTCAAGAGTGTTATGACTAATATAACGTTGATATATTCTGTGTTTAATATGATGCATGTTTACAGTGTAGTGTAGAGTTCAACAAATCAACAAATGAAAAGCAACCATAAACCCAGAACAAACTACCAAATTATCTTCTCCTACAACTGGAAACTTCTAAAAGACCACTTTTCTTTTGTAGTAGATGCTTGATTTTGTTCTTCTTTCCAGCAATTAGTAGTAAATGTAAGCTAAAAACGCACAACTCCAATATCTTCATTCATTTTAACCTTGCAAGTTTCTTCGTCACTTTCTCATGAAAGCTGCAATCCGAGCAGCCAGCAGATCATAGTCAGGTAGATTAGGGTGCACATGTTTTGATTTACAAACATCTGCCGATGACTCAGCCGATAGAGACCTTCCATGCCTTCCTCCTATTCCCCCACCGCTCGAACTACTTGCTGCAGCTGCTGAATCGTCAGCAGTAGTAGAAGATGCCGACTTGCCAAACGGTGGTGCTGAACCTGGAGCTGCATCCTTGCCACTCTCATCCCTCGAACGCCATGAAAGAGGCTTCAGCTTATTATTACTCTTCATATTGTTGTTGTTGCTGCTGCCCCTTTCATAACTTGCCCTCTTCTTGCTGTGCTTCATCAACAATTCATCCAACTTCCTCTCCTCTTCTTCCTCTTCTGCATAGTTCCACAAGCTCCCCTTATTATTGCTTCCCCCGAAAACTCCATCACTTGAATCAACACTGCCAAAATATGACCTACCTGGTGGCAGCTTCAATGGACTCTCCACACTGTCATCACCAACAACCAACTGCTTCATCTGCTGCCTTCTTCGAACCGATCTTGGCTTCGTAGGTTGTGATTCACTCTCTTTATCACGACCAACACCACCAGCAGTAGATCTCGAATTTGGAGACTCTTCAGCGATCTTGACATCTTCCTTCTTCTCAACCTGAGCCCTAACGTAAGGTGGAGGGATAAACCTGTAGTAGGGCTTCTTGCTGCTGTCCACTTCATCCTCAGAAGCACTAGTAGTTGAAGTTCCAATGGTGGTTGAACTAGGCTGCTTCGAGCTATCACGGACTGTGGTGCTATCACTCTGGCTGTTCATACGCAATCTGTTGTGCCTATCATCAACCACATCCTTCCTTCTAGGAGCACCTGCAACTTCTGCTTTTACTGCTGCTGACCCATGGCTTTCCCTCGTGCCAACTTCTTTGTGTTTATATTTGCGGTCACGGTGTATATCTTGATCTCTGGTGCTCTCACTCTCGCTAATATGCGGCCTGTTGTGCCTATAACCATCAACCACATCCTTCCTTCTAGGAGAACTTGCAACTTCTGCTATTGATGCTGATCCATGGTTGTTTCTCTTGCCATCCTCCTGATGTCTAGTTTTGCTTTCACGACGAATATCTTGGTCTTTCCTAGGACTAGGAGCATCGTTGCTCTTCACTTTATGGCTAACGTCTTGAACAGTATTGGTAGCTCCTCCAAGTCTATTGAAAGAAGGAGAATGTGGAGGTCTAAAAAGCTTCTGTTCTAAGAACTTTGAATCCCATTTGATTGAAAATTCTTGTGCGACGTCACGAAGCAGCTGAAGCTTCATCTCCTTAGAAGCAGGCTTTGGATTCAGCAGCTCAGAAAACTGTTGAGCAACATTCTAGGCCATTATGTTCCGTAGGAAAGACAAAACTTGACAATAGTATGAAAGGAGAGAATGAATTAACAAACCTCTTTGTTAAGGAATAATTCAAGATAATCACCATATCTCTGTGCGAAAAGAGAACGAAGATCACGGAGTTCGGGGAACTCTGCCAACCATGCTGCAGCATACATCAGAGATTGTATAGCCTCTCTGCATTCCTTGGGGCATTCCCTATACGAACAAAATTCCCAAACTTCAGTCACAGACAAAAGCAAAACAGCCAAAATGGGATAGAACCTACGAATTTGTGCCTACTTTTGTTTGTCCAAGGCTGCAAGATTAGTTAATATGCATTCGCAGAATTCTTCCATTAGCTTGTAAGCAGCTATCATGTTTTGCTCAACTATTAGCCCATCAGCCTGAACAATACCCATCAACCAATCAACCCAGAAGAAATTGATGGAAACCCAGATAAAAATAGACGAGAATGAAAAGGAATTTGGCTTACTCTGCCATAGGCATTGGAATCAAGGCCAGTCCTGAGAAGGTCGGCGATGTCGTTCTTGAGGTATTTGGCGACGGCGTTCTTCTTCTTCCTGGTGGCGTCCAGCCTCACCTTGGTCATTTTTGTCAATGACTTGCTACAATTTCCACCACCATGTCGAGTTATGAAAAGAGAAAACAGAGCAATTTTCTAAACCAAACCCAAAGAGGGGTGAAAAGAAACTCACCATTTTGTGTAGAATTTGGATTTGGTCAAGCTATCAAACATTTTCCCGATCTGCAGACCCTTTTCCAGCCGGATAAAAGGGATCCGCAGACCAGAGAGTCAGGGGCAGAACCGAAATGGCGACAACGACGACGACGAAACAGATTCCTCGGCTAACTTTCGCCTCTTCCCTTTTCCGTTCTCTCTCGACGTTTCAATCTCTGGGTTTCCTAAGAACACAAAACACACCCTCCTCCGTATTATATAACCGTACAGCGAGAGGGAAAGAAAGATACCCAGAGAAACCCAATTGAGCAGGTAAAAACGGGAATCTCTGTTTCGGAAACCCAAGAAGCAAAGAACGGAGCAGAGAAAGATTAAGAAGCAGAGGGATTTTTGGCTATTTACCGCAAGAAATCAAAGGAATCAAACAATTCCGTGATGGGGGCAAGCTGGCAATGGAACAGAAGAAAGCTGGCAACCTTAGGCGAAGGAGAAGAACGCAAATGGAGCGCGCGCGGGGAAGAGAAACTAACCCAAGAGAAGAAAGAAAGAATTGGGTTTTTTTTTTTATGAAACGATGGAATTACAGAGAGGGAACCAAAATAGAATTTGCAGTGGTTCAGTGAGAGGCAGAGAACCCGGCGGAAGCTCAGCAGGCTTTTCTGTTCTTTGTTTTTTTGGTGCCAAGTTATTCCAAAACTAAAATAAGAATTGTTAGTATAATATTATATTATAGTCGGAAAATAGAGGAAATTGGCGCGCCGTAGCTGGAAGGTGTTGACGAAGGGAGACAGAAGAGAAGTCGGGATTGAGTAAAAAAAACTAATAAAAATACATTTGATTTGGTTCAACTTCCCCCTCTAAAAACTAAAATTCTCAGTTCCTGGTTCGCGTGTAGGAATGTATGAGAAGGTGATCCAGAAATTACAAGAATTCTATTTTTATTTGCATGTTTTTTTTTTGTGTTTTTAATTACGAGTTTGTGTTTTCTACATGTTTTTAAGTTTTTCCCGGGATTTGTGTTCTATTTCTGGGATTCAATTCGGTTATCTACCAGCTGTATATTGACACAATCACCTTTACCCGATCAACCAATTTTTATTTTTTTTATTTATAGGAGAAAGAACAATTATAACTATAAAAAATTCAGTGGTGATCAATGCTTCACAAATTCAAATTATGCGTGTTGTACATGTTAATACTTAATTAATATCAGTATTGTAAAAATCGAACACGAATGAGAGACTAGACCGCTGGAACTACAAACCAATTACCATAGCGATTAGCATTATTTGTTCGAACGGTTAGAAATTGACCGAACAGTTTTAACGGTTTGACATAAAAATTAGGTGAACAATCCCTATTTAACTGGTCCACTACTTTTATTTATGCTTCAAGTTCTTCATTTTTCAGTCTCTTTGTAATTTATGTGATCCATTACGAGTTGTCACGATAATTACTAACTTATATTTAATAAAATAGTTTTTTTTATTTCTTTCGTGAAACCATTTGAATGATTTGATGTAAGTTTTGGTAATGGAAAATATGTATTAAAAATTGTTTATGATTTAGTGATACATTCAATTCTGAATTGGTATATTATATATGTCTTTCGTGTTAAACGATTCTATCAACGGTTCTATATCAACTTTTGACCGCTTAACCGTAAACCAATAATTTTTTTAGATCAACATCCGATCAAGTTATGAAAACAAAGCTTAATATTCTTGGGAGTTCCTAATTTTTCTCTTGGGACTTTCTTAATTGGTCTGTAATTAGTAATTATGATTAGTGCAAGGAAGAAGTCAACCTGACGAGAACAAGCAGCCTAAGAAAGAAAAAAATGTCACCATTTCTATCATCTCGGTCATTCTGTGTGCACAGAATGTGGCTCCATGTTTCATTGAAGCAGGTCAACTTCTTTCTAGGACTTGGACATCCTTGTTTGTTTGTTTTGACTCATTCGTCCTTTCTGATACGTCGAGTTTACAAAAAATAGTAAATGGCAAAACATTTGTAGAAACATTAGTTAACTGTCTAATCCCTTCCAAAAGCACTCTGCCAAAGCATATAATTAATAGACGAGTTGTATAATTTTCCTTCTTTTTTTATCAGAATATCGGATAAGTCACTCAGAGCGGTTTACATGAACACGATAATTCGTACTCTAGAAAACCTTTTTAATCGAAATTTACCTTATTATATCTCACCATTCTTATATTCCTTAATTACATGGGATGGATGAAGGATCTTAATTAACTTGTACGTTGAACTAAGTAATTATTAGCTCTAGTGCAGATGTATTGGGAGAATATGTAAGGTCAAAGTCTAGATTTAAAAGCGAGAGAGAAGAAGAAAAAGGAGGTGGGGGAAGGAATATCATTTATCAATGAAAAGAATTCTTAAGAACATGAAATTCCGCTAACTGTATTTGGATACTTAAGCCGCAAGTTAACTGATTGTGTGGTGGGGATACGGTGGGCGTTTTTGTTGCTCAGCTAGCTTAGCTGGTTCCGTTTAGCAGATATAGCTTAGCTGGCATGCACAACGGCCTTAACCGAAAATATACTTTTGCATTATTGCATATTTTCCCATTATTGCTAATTAGGGATGAAAGTAGAACCTGAATCTGCGGGTACGCTACCCGATTCAACTCGGTCCATGCGGGTAAAATTTGTTTTGACGGATTGTGAGTCGTGTTTGGGTTTAAACCCGTTATACTTTTTGCGAATTGGATTGGGTTTGGGTTTAGTCATATCCAATCCATGGTTACCCGCACCCAAGTCCATACCCCCACGACCCACGAAACTCTTAACTAATTAACTATAATTTTAAACTAGTTACTCACACGTTCAGTTAATCACATTGTTTATTGATGTTTATCTTTAATATTGAACAATTAGTATGAATGATTTTTTAGTTAGTGTGTATGTAGTATACAATAGTAGTGAAAATTAGTGTAATTGTATCTTTGTACACAAACTCATGGGTACCCATGAACCCGCGGATACCCAGCGGGTTGGGTTGGGTTTGAGTTTTGCAAATTTAGTGGGTTTTACCCCTTTTTTGTGTGTGGATAAACCCATGAGTTGAGGGTTTTTTGTGTGCATAACTAGTCCCGTCCCAACCCGATCCATTTCCATCCATGGAGCTGACCAATGTTTTAGAAACCCGTGCTGGACCGGAAATACAGGCGTTGGACTCTAAATAATAGGCAGGTTTAGCGGTACGAAATGGTTGAATCAACGCATGTTCACATATTATATGGAAACGCCATTGTCGGAGCGGACGACGGTTTGATGTGCCTAGCCCTTGGTGGAAAGAATGAAGCGACGATGGCGCGATGTTATGTGGATGAAGAGAGAAGGAGAGGGAGGAGAGCGGTGAATGATGGAGGCGGGTTCATGTGGCAGACCTAGAAATTTCACAAAGGGTATTCACTGAAAATAAAAATAAAAATTAAAAATTATATTGGTATCATATATGATTTCAATGATCGTTTTTGACGAATTTCATTGTTGAAAATGGCCATGTCAACGCATGTGGCTGTTGGCGATAAAAGAAGACGAGGGAGGAAGTCAAAAGGAAGGATTGCACACCAAAATTGAGATTTTTGTACTCTTTTTTTTATAGAAACCTGTAATCAATTCATTGATCAGAGTTTGCTGCTGCATCATCCAGTTTAATCTGATCAACTAAATACATTGGCGGTCTATCAAGTCAAACCACCCGCTCATCCCATCTTGTTTGTGCATGTGCCATGGTATGAGCAGCTTCATTTACCTCCTTGTACACATGAGAAAAACTCCCTTACCGCTCTTCCACCATTCTCATTTTTCTACAAACCACCCCTATCTGCGAAGTGGAATGAGATTGCTTTGTCAACCCAGCTGCAAACAATCCGTCGCCATAACTGGATTTTGGATGTAAAATTGTTGTGCCAACTGAGCCCCCATCTCCAAAGCCATTTCTTCAGCCATGTCCGGTGTGTACTGTCCCTGTACCATCTTCACTGCTGCAAGGATAGATGTCCCATTCTCGTCTCCGTCACCACCCCAAGGCTTATCCCTCCTTCTTGTAGCACCCCGACGTCTGTGTTAACCATCACTTGACCTCTCGGCGGCTTGCGCCACTTCTTCACACATGGAGGTGGCTAGACTAGCAATCCCTTCTCTTGATGTTGACGGTAATCATCAAAAAGTACTTCGCCCTCACCACAATCTCCTCTTCCGCCTTCTTCAGTCCATTGAACAATTGAGCATTACACTCTTTCCAGAGAAACCATAGTAACACACTCCACTCTACAAACCTTTCCTCCCCCACCTTCTCTAGCCTTCTTCAACCACTCTATCGTCGATCTCGCTCCATGGAGCTCATATAAATATGCACAAGATTTTTGTACTCTTGATAAACTATAATGGGGAATTTGGGGTATCAGCCGAAGTTTTTAACCTCCAACAAAGTGCAAAAGGAGAATTAATTAAGATGCTTGATTAAGGAAAATTAGTTGGATTTATGAATTAATTTGGGTATCACAACAAAGAGACCTATTTTGATGTAAAGTTCAATTTGAAATTGGAAAGGATCTCAAATGGTAGAGACTTCAAATACTGCACAATAATATGAATTTTAACATACTAATTGGTCACATTTAAACTAAGGTTTGTCGATTGACAACCCTCAAACATGGATAGACTTCTTAAACTAAACGTTATAAACATAGTTATCAGTTATCACTGTAATAACCCTTTAGTGGGTTGAGGAATTTTAGTATTTTACTATGATTTAAAACATTGGTGCTTAGTTTTCTGCCTTTATGGTATAACTCAAAGTTGTACTTTTAACATTATAGGTACAACGAAGTTGTACCTATACTTTTTTGTACAAATCCTTTTATGGTACAATCTGAATTTGTACATTTATCTTATGGTACAACTTAAAGTTGTACAAGTTGTACCATAACATAAATGTACAAATTCCCTTATGGTACAACCTGAACTTGTACATTTAATGTTATGATACAAATTCAAATTGTACATTAAAAACATCAATGCTTTAAACCATAGTAGAAGTGCTCGAGTGAGTTAGCATCTGATCTCATTCCCATATTTCCGCCTCTGGAGGAATGAGAGTATTCGTTAACCTCTCTAAGCAGTTAGGGCCATGCTCACTTAACCTCTCTGGAGGATAGTTTAGTCAATATTTCCTCAAACCCTAATATAATAACTTTCCTATTCATCTTCTCTCCACTCGGGAACTTCCGCCTCTCAGCTGAGCGATCCAGTGCCACGTGTCGTTCATCACGCTTGTCTGGAGCAATATGCGTCAATCAGTCTAAACCAATTGCATGTCTCCAACTCAAGCCAGACGATCTCTTTAATTTCAATCGAACAACTAGTGGTTCGCTTTTATTTAAGGTATCCACTTTAATTGTTTCATGTTTCAGCAAACCACATTATGTTCCGCTAGTGTATCAAGCGAACCAGTCCCGAAATCTAGTATTTTGACAAAATTTAGTTCAAGTGTGGTATTGTTGTATTTTTTTCTTTTTGGGTAATAACTCTAACATTTTGGGTGAAAATCCGTTGCAGTTGGTCAAATTGAGCCAACAAAGAAAGAATAAGGACTTGGCCGCCTGCACTCTGAACTTCCATATAGATGTTTGCTAGCCAGAATTGACCTTGAAAATAGAAGGTGGTCTTTCTTGTACAAATGTTGTAAATCTTGCGAAACGAACTTAACACATAAATCCTTTTTTTGGTGGAGTAGATAATTGCATCTTTATGGCAGCCAACAACTGTCACAGAGAAAGAACATTTTGAGAAGAAACCAAAACCCACTAAACAAGTGGGAATTAGGCAGTTAGGCCTCTGACTTGAGCATTGAGAATAGGTAGCTGAGAACCAGGGCAAAGCTACATGGAAAACGAAAATCCCAGGTGGCGAAAAGCAAAGGTGGCGAACCTCTTTATTTGCTTTATCCATTAAGAAACAGCAAAGAAAAGGAAGATTGGCTTTCCAATCGTGCTAGGCTTAACTTTACTAAGCCACAGCCCACAGCTGTGGCCACTGGCCAGGCCAACATATCACTATCCCATTCCCCACCACAGCCTTCCTTGCTAAGTTGGAGTTGTTTGTTTGCCTTCCTTTCCTTGCATAGCCATCTAGTAGTGTATTATTTATTTCCCGAACCACTTTTTCCTTCGTCTACAATTTTCATCCAAATGTCGAATAAAAAATTGGGATTTCGCGCTTAGGCGAACGAAAATTCCGCTGAATCGTGCATTTCAGCAACATAGAACGAATCATTTCAACATTAGGGCAACATTGAAGTTGCTAAAAACAATCATTTTCCTTAGTTCTCTAAGAGACCATAACAAAAGTCACGCTACAGTCTACATGCTTAACACAATCATTTATTATTTTCTAATTTTAAAGTTCAAACCAGATAATTAAAGATGAAGTATGCTGGTCATTCACTATTTATTTTGAATAGACCATACTGTTTGGGTTTCTATAATGAATGAATTATTATTTATTATTATTATTATTATTTATATTTTTAGAAAATTTTGACGGATACTATAAAAAAAGTTCGGCCCCCCCCGATCTCTAGATCCTAGCTCCGCCCCTGCTACTCCACATTTCAACATGCACGATAAGATAATAAGTCAAAAACACATTAATATTATAAAGAATAAGTTGATCCAATAACTCGACTTATTGAAATATCTTTAGTTATTGATCTTATATTATTTACTAAAATATGATAAGACGACAATGATAATCGTGCTTGTATAAATTGTAGAGGAACAAATATAATTTGTGTACTACCAGACTCAAACTATCTCAAATTAACAACACATCGGTGGCCCAATCTCCAGCTTCTGGCCCAGTAAATGACACCACCGAATCGGTAGATCGGATGGGCCTCCCCACCAGAAGGCCTCAGCCCATCTCGATTAAAGCCTTAGCCAGCCCGCAATCGTCCACCTAAATTACTCGTTAAGCATAAAAAAAGAAGAAAATAAATAAATAAATGATAGCTCACACGAAGAAGAAAAACATCAGAACACTCTGCGGCTCGCCCTGTACCGGCATATAATCCTGCATAGATCTAAGGACACAGCGACGAACTGAAACGGAAACATTTTTTTCCCCTTCCTATGCACTCCTCCCCCTTCTTCGTTCCTTCAATGCATCTCTCGTCCTATTCTTGATCCACGGCTTCTCTCTTTCGCTGAAGCGAGACTAAAGCAATACGTACATTCCCATCACTCTGTTCGCTTTCTCCCTGTGGCTTTTGCCTGTTTTGGCTGCGATCATTTTCTGCTCCTCTCTCGTGGATCCGCATGTATACCGAAGAACAGATCTAAGGTACTTCCCTTGCGCGCTCTCTCTCTCTCTCTCTCTCTGTAAATCTCGTTCGGCGTAGTGTTACTATTCGTCAATTTCGTTTGACATGGCTGAGGTCGGTGGTACGGTGCGGCATTGGTGCTCCATTCGGATTTGAATGCGTGACCTGGAATTTTCATTAGGTTATACATGTGAATTCGGTTGGAAATGGATAATTTGTGCTGGATGGGTTGATGATTTGATTCACTATTGTGTAATTTTGGTAACTCCTCTGTTCCGTGGTTGTGATCTGCTGTCAGCTGTGCATCAGCGTAGTAACACTGTGGCTTTTGTGTTTTTATCTTTTTAGATTTGTTTGATTTGGTTGGGAGGAGATGTTGACGAAATTCGAAACAAAGAGTAACAGAGTGAAGGGACTGAGTTTCCACACTAAGAGGCCATGGATTCTTGCCAGTCTTCACAGTGGTGTGATCCAACTCTGGGACTACCGTATGGGGACTCTGATTGATCGCTTCGACGAGCATGATGGCCCCGTGCGAGGCGTCCATTTCCACAAATCTCAGCCTCTTTTTGTATCAGGAGGTAGGCAATCTCGTTTCATGTTGATTGAAAGTTCATTCAGTTTGCTGGTCAATGTTGTAGTATTGCTGAAATCTTCAACAGGAATAATATGCATCTATAGTTACTCAATTTCAATAGGATGATTGATTGGATTTAATGAATATGTCATTTCATGGATTCTTCTGTTAGTTTTCACCCAGGGGATGGCAAGTGGTTAATGTATTAATAAGCATTGAAGGTTTGAGTCTTTGGTGTCAAATTTGTGCTACTACAATTTGAGAATGAGGTTAGCTATGATAATTTCATTCTTAAGTAGAAGTTGTGGTGAACATATTTTGGTTGGCGGCTCTGGATTCCTTGATGAAGGCCTTCTTAATTTTGGGACTATTCTTGATCTACAATAGAAGCACTTTACTTACCTGAATTACCTATTTTAGTTCGTACTTGTTTCATTTGTTGTATTTGTATCTAGCTAGCTGTTGCATGTTATATTTTAAGCACTTCTACTAAAGTTATTCTTAGTCTACGGGAATTCTAGTTGATGTTTAATTTTCCTTGTTGTTTTAGATGTAAGTGCCTGCCTTCGTATTTCATGATATTTCTTTTCATCTCTTCATGCACTTCACCTCTATTGAGTACTAAGAGAAGAGTCGATCTAAAAAGATAGGCACTAGACCATTATGTAGTGGCACCAACTTGTTTCAATAATGGAATTGTTTCAACACAGACTCATGTTGCTGCTCTGCATTCTTTCTCTGACCTTTGACCAATGCTTGAGTGTATGTAAATGATTTCTTTCCAGGCGATGACTACAAGATCAAAGTTTGGAACTATAAGCTGCATAGGTGTCTCTTTACCCTTCTGGGTCACCTCGATTACATCCGCACGGTGCAGTTTCATCATGAGTACCCATGGATTGTGAGTGCCAGTGATGATCAGACGATTCGCATCTGGAATTGGCAGTCTCGCACTTGCATTTCAGTGCTGACAGGCCATAATCATTATGTTATGTGCGCTTCATTCCACCCTAAAGAAGATCTTGTTGTGTCTGCTTCCCTGGATCAGACTGTCCGTGTCTGGGACACTGCTGCTCTGAGAAAGAAAACTGTATCTCCTGCTGATGATATCCTGCGTTTGAGTCAGTTGAATGGAGATCTCTTTGGTGGTGTTGATGCAGTTGTTAAGTATGTCTTGGAAGGTCATGACAGAGGAGTGAATTGGGCTGCATTCCATCCTACTCTTCCTTTGATTGTCTCAGGAGCAGATGATCGCCAAGTAAAGTTGTGGCGGATGAATGGTATGTTGTGTTTATTCTTTTGGTTATAATTGAACGATATGTCGTGTTGTTGAAGCTACTGTAGCATTGAGTACTTCTGTGTTTTATCTTGTATATATTAACTCCTCAACCCTTAATCTGAAAATGGCTTATACAATGAGATTTGTAATATCTAATGTGGTATGCCTGTGGAGGGCCTTGAGCTACTTAGAGAATGATTTTTTTGTTTCTTCTATATTCATTTCAGATACAAAAGCATGGGAAGTGGACACTTTGAGAGGACACATGAACAATGTTTCAAGTGTTATGTTCCATGCCAAGCAAGATATAATCGTATCTAATTCAGAGGATAAAAGTATTCGAGTTTGGGATGTCACTAAGAGAACTGGACTTCAGACTTTCCGCCGTGAGCATGACCGCTTTTGGATCCTTGCAGCTCACCCTGATATGAATCTTCTTGCTGCTGGCCATGACAGTGGCATGATAGTGTTCAAGTTGGAGAGAGAAAGGCCTGCATTTGCTGTGAGTGGAGACTCTCTGTTTTACACAAAGGATCGGTTTTTGAGGTTTTTTGAGTATTCCACTCAGAGGGAAACCCAGGTGATTCCTATCAGGCGACCTGGTAGCACCAGCTTGAATCAGAGTCCGAGAACTCTTTCTTACAGCCCTACTGAAAATGCGGTTCTGTTATGCTCAGATGTGGATGGAGGGTCTTATGAGCTGTATATAGTACACAAGGATACCATGTCCAGGGGTGATACAGTTCAGGAAGCAAAGAGAGGTGGAGGGGGTTCAGCTGTATTCATTGCAAGAAACAGGTTTGCTGTGCTTGACAAAAGTACCAATCAAGTGTTGGTCAAGAACCTAAAGAATGAGGTGGTCAAAAAGAGTGGCCTTCCCATTGCTACAGATGCTATTTTCTATGCCGGAACTGGTAATGTGCTTTGCAGGGCTGAAGATAGAGTTGTCATATTTGATCTTCAGCAGAGACTTGTAATTGGGGAGCTTCCTACACCTTTTGTGAAGTACGTCGTTTGGTCTAATGAAATGGATTCTGTTGCCTTGTTGAGCAAGCATGCTATTGTTATTGCAAATAAGAAGCTTGCGCATCAATGCACCCTTCATGAAACAATCCGCGTGAAGAGTGGAGCCTGGGATGACAATGGTGTTTTCATATACTCTACTCTAAATCATATGAAATACTGCCTTCCGAATGGAGATAGTGGCATAATCAAAACCCTTGAGGTCCCAATATACATCACTAAGATTTCTGGGAATACAATCTTTTGCCTGGATAGGGATGGAAAGAATAGGGCTATGATCATTGATGCAACAGAGTACATGTTTAAACTCTCTCTTCTGAAGAAGAGATTTGATCACGTCATGAGCATGATCAGAAACTCGCAGCTTTGCGGTCAGGCAATGATTGCTTATCTGCAGCAGAAGGGATTCCCTGAAGTTGCTTTGCATTTTGTCAAGGATGAAAGAACGAGATTCAATTTGGCTCTTGAGAGCGGGAACATCCAAATCGCTGTTGCTTCAGCTAAGGAAATCGACGAGAAAGAGCATTGGTACAGGCTCGGAGTGGAAGCCCTTCGCCAGGGCAATGCAGGTATCGTTGAATATGCATATCAGCGAACAAAGAATTTCGAGCGGTTGTCTTTCTTGTATCTGATTACTGGAAACCTAGACAAGCTGTCAAAGATGTTGAAAATTGCTGAGGTCAAGAATGATGTCATGGGCCAGTTTCATAACGCCCTGTACTTAGGTGACATCCAGGAGCGAGTAAAGATACTGGAAAACACTGGTCATATCCCCCTGGCATACATCACGGCTAAAGTCCATGGTCTGGAGGAAGTAGCTGAGCGCCTAGCTGCTGATTTGGGAGATAACATTCCATCTTTGCCAGAGGGTAAAGTGCCATCCCTTCTCATGCCTCCATCCCCCATATCATGTTCTGGTGATTGGCCTCTTCTGAGAGTTATGAGAGGTATATTCGAAGGTGGCCTAGAGAATATGGCTAGAGGGACAGCAGAGGATGATGAGGAAGCGGCTGATGGTGATTGGGGCGAGGAACTTGAAATGGTTGATGCGGAGGACTTCCAGAACGGTGATGTTACTGCTGTTTTGGAGGGCGCTGAAGCGGAAGGAGACAATGATGAGGAAGGAGGATGGGACCTTGAGGACTTGGATCTTCCTCAAGAAGCAGATACCCCTAGAGCTTCTCTCGCTACTCGCTCTACAGTTTTCGTGGCTCCATCTCCTGGAATGCCTGTGAGCCAGATATGGATCCAGAAGTCATCACTTGCTGCTGAACATGTGGCAGCTGGCAATTTTGACACCGCTATGAGATTGCTCCATAGGCAACTCGGAATAAAAAATTTCTCTCCGTTGAAATCCATGTTCCTCGATCTTCACTCCGGAAGCCAGACGTATCTACGTGCGGTCTCGGCTACTTCTGTCATATCGCTGGCTGTTGAACGGTGGAACGAGTCGGGAGCCCCCAACGTACGGGCACCTCCAGCACTCGTATTCAGTTTTAGTCAGTTGGAAGAGAAGCTCAAGGCTGGTTACAAAGCCACCACAGCTGGGAAGTTCACCGAAGCTCTGAAACTCTTCATCGGTATTCTTCATACGATCCCTCTCATTGTCGTGGAGACAAGGAGAGAGGTCGATGAGGTCAAAGAGTTGATCATCATAGTGAAGGAATACGTTCAGGGGCTACAGATGGAACTCAAGAGAAGGGAAATGAAGAGCGACCCGGTTCGTCAGCAGGAACTTGCCGCCTACTTCACACATTGCAACCTTCAAACCCCTCACCTGAGACTGGCCTTGCTCAATGCAATGACTATCTGCTACAAAGCCAAGAACTTCGTCACTGCTGCTAACTTTGCCAGGCGTCTGTTGGAGACTAACCCGCAGGTTGAGAATCAAGCGAAGACGGCCAGACAAGTGCTTCAGGCTTCGGAGAGGAACATGACGGATGCTACTCAACTGAGCTACGATTTCCGGAACCCGTTTGTGGTGTGTGGTGCTACTTATGTTCCCATATACAGAGGACAAAAGGACGTTTCTTGCCCTTATTGCTCTGCCCGGTTTGTTCCAGCCCAAGAGGCGCAGATATGTGCAGTCTGTGATCTTGCTGTTGTTGGGGCTGATGCTTCCGGCTTGCTGTGTTCATCTTCTCAGATCCGGTAATGAAAACTCTTCTCGTCACCAATGATAAGCCTTCTGGGCCAGCTTTTGATCAACTGCCTGAATCGATGAATTGGCAAGGTTAGCTTACAGAATGAGTTCATAATTTGCTGCTTAAATGTTTTTTCTTCTTCTTCGTACACATTTGCTTCCTGTATCAATTGGGCTTTACTATTTTGCTCATTTAGTTGCTTTCGAAATTGGATGGTAATAACGGAACCGAATTTTGAGTCGTTAAGAGAGACGGTTGCTGCTTGAAGAGTGAAGACTGTTGACAGAGAGGGATTTGCACACTTCGGTTTGATTCTTTGTGATAATTTTTCAGGTGATTGGGTTGTTAATAGGACGGAAAAGAATACACATTGATGATATTCTGCAAACGGTGTTATAACTTTTATATTAGCGTTGTTAAGAACTGGTGCCAACTAATAAAATCTCGGCGCCTCCGCTAACCATGTATTAGGACCAGAAACAGCGCAGGAGATTGATGATAAAGAGGAACAAAGGGTTGCCTCGAACCAGCAACTCGGGCCGGACGAAGCGGCTCAACCGGTCCAGGTTTCTCGGAAGCAAATGGCTGTAGTGCAGCAGCGTCGTGATGGAGCAAACCGGTCTGCACACCAGCGGTTCGAGCCCTCCGGCTAGTGTCCTCAACACCAATGGCCCCGCAATAGACTTCAAAGCCAAAAGAAAGGAACGAAACGTTACTACATAAGCAACCAAGCCATAATCTCAAATTCTGTATCTCGAACGACATGGTGAGAGACCAACTAAGTCGATATTCATAGACAAAAAGGGATGCCAATTCGTGCATTGCATCCAACGTGAACGCCTAGGTTACGATGCTACTATTAGTCTACTCCATCCTCACCCCCTATAAGCCGGCTAGTAGCGAATTGTACACGTAATCGTGCATGTACATTGCAAGTATGTAAATTGTACGTACCATATCATGTAATTTGAGGACGACGGAGCGAAGCGAGCTTCCTAGCTTGTTGGTGAGAAATTTCGAGGTATGTTGTGAGAGCGAAAGAAGGGTTAAGAGGCGATCGAGAAGGTAGGACTAGGAGAGCGTGGGAGAGGGTAAGTGGAATTGAGGCGAAGGAATGATAATATGATATAATGAATAGAACTCACCAACCCTTCTTGTCCCAAAGGAAAGTAGAGACAGACAGACAGACAGCTAACAGCAATTTGGAGCTCTAGATATTATCAGCTGCCCTAGGCGTACTTCAACATCGGTACATCACCAAGAGATTCTACCAAGATTAATTTGGGTTGTTTATAAATATATATTCTATAACCTAGGAGTGTACAGCAAGTCTCTACTTTACTATGGTTCGGCTTCAGAATTTCCTTCTTTAGTTTACTTTGTAACACGAGCGACCAACAGGGGAAATTTGCTTGCCAATTACGAAACAAATGCTTCACAGTTCAATCCATAAATTTAGATTCCTTTTTGTGCAAGTAATATTTTTTTTAAAAAAATTTGTTCACTAGAACGAAAAATATTTAAATGGAAGGTGCGTCTAGACTAAATCTCTAATTTTGGTGTGATGATTCAAATGGAAGAAAGGCTCCGTGGCCATCTACTTTGGTTGATTTACCAAGGGCTACTTACCATAGTGTTCAAAAGCCTTAAATCTTAAAACCCAACACATTTGAAACACTTTCTTTCCTACAGAACACAAAAATCAACAAAAAAAACTAAAATCAAAACACAACACAATACAAAAACCAACAACACTCTTCTTCATCGTTGAGTATTCTTCGGATTCCGTCGAGGTCGTTGGAGTCACAACTTTAGTCTACCTCGGTAGCCATCGTAGTCAAGTGCTCCAAAAGAAGGCAAGATTTTAGAATTTTTTCCGAAAAATCAAACCGAACGGGTTCAAAACTCGGTCTGGCCATGGATCGGACGAGTTGAAATCTCGGCCCAGCCATGAAACAGATGGGTAGAAGCCCGCCCCGCCGTCCCGCTAGACATGCCCTAAATCCGCCCCTATGGTATGGAAGAGTTTTCAACCCGGATCAGAATTTCAACCTAACTGAACAATGGTCAAGTCAGATTTTTCACCTTGTACGATCGATGACTGGGTCAGATTATGAACATGTCTCGATAAGATCATGTGGGATTTCAAACAATTTTTTTCACGAAAAATTACCAAAGTTATTCTACTATTTATGTTTGCTAGAAGTGATTGTTATGTTGTGGTCTTTAGGGGAGGACAAAGTTGTAGAAGTTACATACTCTTTTGCGGTTTTGCAACCACCATCAAATAACAAGGAGTTTGTTATTAGTGATTCGGTAATTAAGTACTCCATCTTTTGTTGTTTGATAGGTTTATTTATTGAAACATCAAATTAACATGTTTGATCAATGATAAATATAGTTATATTTTTACTGTATATTTTTGTAGGGAGGTTATAGAGATGATGAGGGTGACAATGTTGATTACACATCATTGTTCATAAGCGATGATGTTTATGATACCCACGACAAAGCTTGTACACCAACAAAGGAGATTTCCTAACATAATAGGTTTTTCTTGGTTGTGGGATTGATCAAACAAAATCATGGAGAAAAAAAAGTTGCGTATATATATATGGATTTCAAACATGGCTATAGGAGCAAATCATAACCCTGGATTCGGAGAAGACAAGTTCGAAAAAAATCCAAATCAAGTAAGTTAGGTTGTCATTCCAAGTGGAGTATGGTCCGCATAACAGATGACAAGTACAAGTGGAGAATTTTTGGTGTTGTGGAAAAAATTAATCCTCGTCCTTCAAAAGGATTTCACGATGACAAAGTAAGCTTTATTATAAAGGAAGCAAGCTAAGGAATTTTCTTTCAAAGGCGGAAAATGAGATATTAGGGAAATGGAGGCAACACATACTCAAACAAGGGAAATGAGGAGTTTTATAAATATGAAGTACGATGCTCGCCACAATATGAGTCAGATTTATAATGAGACAACAAAGATTAGGCGTGATGAATTGGGTGGCATGAAACCTATGCAATGGACATTGATAGAAGCTTAATGTCTTAGATACTTGGTTGAGTGTGAATTTGATAATGAGCTTCGTGTTACTAATCTCTTCCTTTGTCGTCATGAGTCGATTCAGATGTTGATTGCATGGTATTTCGTTATTTTGAGAGACTCGACGTACAAAACCAACAATTACAAGAATTCATTGATTAAGATGATTCGTGTTACTCCAATGAAGAAGAACTTCAACATTGGGTTTGCTTTGTTTTCAAATGATAAGAAAGAGAAATATGCATTGGTTTTTATGCAACCTAAGATTCTTCTTGGTGATCGAATACCATATCCATATGCATTCATCATGGATAAGGAGGGAGTATTGGGTATCTTTTTGCGCGAGATCTTTCCATCTTCGGCTTATTTATTATGCATTTGGCACAAGAAGAGGAACATTGAAGCCAAAATGATGTATTTCAAGATGAGTAAAGATACAACCGAGACATTTGTAGCAGGTCCATGGGGGAGAGTCTTGCATGCCAAAATAGAGGCACAGTTCCAAAGGCATAAGCTAGAGGTGCAAAGTGGTAATTGGGGTACAATTGGATCATTGATGGACTACTTGAGAGGTGAGTGGATACCATATGCGCGGAGGTGGGCTCATTGCTATACCAATCGTGTTTTTCATATTGGTAACATGAGCACCAATAGGGTAGAGTCAACTTATTCCTCATTGAAGAAATGGCTTGCCACTTCGACCCACAAGATCGGTACACTCTTTCTCAGATTTTATACATCCATTGAGGGAAAAGTTATTTAATTGAGAAAGGACTTAGATGCATCGCAGTTGAAGTTATTTTCATTTTTGCTTCATTTAAGTTAGCATTAAAAAATATTTTTAATTTGATTTAGACTTAGAAATTCATTCTTTGGAATATGTATTTTCATTAGCCTACACAACGAGCAACCAGAGCTATTACCCACTACATCAAAAAATTTCCATTAATGAAAGCTGGAAATCCATTGGAAAATAAAAAAGACGTATGTCGGATGAAATGGTGGTTGTTGCTATTTGCTCCAATAACGAATCATTGGCATTGGTTTAACTGAATAACTAAATAAAATAGATAGACCATTCTCTTTGTCTCAGGTCGCCATAAGTGGCTAAGCTCCTTCTCCCTGGCCTAGTTAATCGATCGCTCCTATGGCCTCCATAATTGATGTCAACTTTCCCTAGTAACAAGTCAGTTGGTATGAAATATGATTATAAAAAACTGAGTTTTGGAAACAAAGCAGACTTGGTAGTTAGTCAAGAGGGTGCAAATCCGGGGAGACATGACTTGGTACTAAGATAAGAAATTTGGCTAAGTATGGAGCCAAGAGGGTAACAAGCCGACAAGGCATGCTTGGTACCAAGACATGAAAATTGGCTAAGTATGGAGCCAAGAGGGTACCAAGCCGGCAAGGCATGCTTGGTACCAAAACATGAAAATTGGCTAAGTATGGAGCCAAGAGGGTACTAGGCCGACAAGGTAAGCTTGGTACCAAGACATAAAATTTGGGTAAGTATGGAGCCAAGAGGGTACCAAGCTGGCAAGGCATGCATAGTACCAAGACATGAAATTTGGCTAAGTATAAAGTCAATAGGGTACCAGGCCGACAAAGAAGGCTTGTGTTGATGTGACTTGAATCAGACTATCAGCCGCTACGACTGGATTAGTCGGGGGTCTGGGCCTGGTCTGTAACCGTTTCCTTTGCTAGATTGGATTAGGTTTAGACCCACATGGAGAAGTACTCCTCTGTAATCTGGAATCTCCTCGACATAGTGAAACTGGCTCTCTCTCGCCCGTGACTAGCTAACACACATCGTGTTAGTGAACCACATAAATCGTGTGTCGTGTTTTCGATTCTCGCTTTGTCGATTCCAGCGATTTCCCGATCCGTAGCAGCGCGTTTATAACAACTTGGTACCACGACATGAAATTTGGCTAAGTATGAAGCCAATAGGGTACAAAGCTGGCAAGGCGGGCTTGGTACCAATATATGAAATTTGGCTAAGTCTAGAGCCAAGAGGATACCATGTTAACAAGATAGGGTTGGTTGCAAGGCAACAGGGTACCAAACAAGACAGGCTTGGTAATGAGATATGAAATATGGCTCAGTATGGATACCAAGGTAAGACTAGCTAGGTAACCCGGCAAGAGGGTACCAAGCCTGAAAGACAAGTTTGGTTGCAAGGCGATAAGAGTACCAAGCTGGCAAGGCAGGCTTGATACCAATACACCAAGGGGGTACCTAGCTAACAATGCATGCTTGGTAGACATGAAATTTGGCTAAGTATGGAGCCAAGAAGGTATCAAGCCGACAAGGTAGGCTTGGTAGTTGGTACTAAGAGATAAATATTGGCTAAGTATGGAGCCAAGAGGATACCAAGTCGGCAAGGCGGGCTTGATACCAAGACATGAAATTTGGCTAAGTATGGAGCTAAGAGGATACCAAGCCGGCTAGACTGGCTTGGTGGCCAGGGAACAGGGTACCAAGCCGGGGTACAAACTAAGAGAGTCGTACAAAAGCTACGTTTGGATACCAAGATGACACAAGACATACATGGTATCAAGTTACCAAATCTCTCAAAAACTAAGTATAAACATCTTAACAATAAAAAAAAAGTATTAACATCAAACTGGCAGGGTGCCAACCTGATGAGGAGGTGACAAGGTGGCTAGTTGAGGTGGCCACCCGACAGGGTACCAAGTCATCAGGACCATCCCTATATTCTCAAGACTTAGTATGAAATCTTGGTGGCGGGGGCTGGTCGACCAAGATGCTGAGCTAATGATGTCAATTTGATAAGGACTTGGTATCGAGCCTCTTAGGGGCCCATATGGAGACTTAGTCCTAAGGTAAGATTAATGGCCCCTTAACAGGGTACCAAGTCGGCAAGGTGCAAGGTACCAACTTATTGAGATTCTAAAACTAAGTATGGTGACCAGGTCGGTAGGGCTAGCTAGGTAGCAGGGGGTATCAAGCCAGAGAGACAACAAGGTACCAAGTCGGCAAGACATGCGTGATACCATGATGACAAGTTGGTGCAATGACGAGCCTTCCAAGACTAAGTATGGAGTCTTGGTGGGTAAATGGGCTAAGTTCTCATCCCATCAATACATGATCATGAAAAGATGACGAGATGGAGGGTGGTACCAAGATGAGAGCAACATGGAGACTAAGTATGAGGTCTCCAGGGCTATCAAGGAGTCGTAGTGGTAAGAAGCAATGTGATGGAGGCAAGGCTAGGAGCCCCAACCCCTTCTAGCAGGTGCATTGATTGAAATCTAGCACAAGAGTTTTCTCGCCTGGAAACACTAGCATAAGTACACATCTGCTAGGAGAATAAAATATATTATGGTCTCAATTGAACGACCCATCCCTTTTGCCCAATTTTCGGTTTATAGTGATGAAATCCATAAAAAAATTTCCAATATGAGATCCAATAATTATTCCGCCACAAGAGTAACTAGTTTAATTACTCTATTTTGTAGTTTTGGTTCATCTAATAGTCTTCTTCCTTAAGTAACCTAACGTCCAACGCGCATCAATTCGCCAATCAATGGGAGGTAATGACATCACCGAAAGAAAAAGAAAGCCCGCCTGACTTGCGCACAAAATGACCGGCTTACTTAACTAGGTAAACCTTTTATTTTACTTAAATATGATAAAGAAAATAAAATAGATAAAACCAATATCACAATTTAGGGGTTAATTGTATGGTTGGTCACTGAGATTACAAAAAACGTTCATGTTTGGTCACTGGAAATATTTAAATCCAACCTTGGTCACTCAAATTAGTTAAATGGTTCAAATTTGGTCACTCTCCGTCCAACTCCGTTAAATTTGTCTGATGTGGCAGTCAACTCATAAAGTTGACCGTTAACTCGGTGACGTGGCAATTAAAAAATAATAAATAAAATAAATTTGAGGGTTGACTGAGAGTGACCACCGTACCTCGTCTGCGCCGGCAGCGTCAACCCCGACTACTTCGACTTCCACCGCTACACCACCCTCGACCTCGACCCTTACGTAGACGGCCTCCTCAACATCCTCAACGCCCACCGCGTCGAACGCTGCGCCTACGTCGGCCACTCCGTCTCCACCATGATCGGCCTCCTCGCCTCCATCCGCCGCCCCGAGCTCTTCTCCAAGCTCATCCTCATCGGCGCCTCCCCCAGGTCCCCAATTTCAAAATCCCCCTTTAATTTTCAATGAAATCGAATCCAGATTTCGGAAATTTCTAATTGAGAGAGGTTTCGGTTTGTGGGGGATTTAGGTAACGTCTTCATCGCTGGAATACACATCAACCGTCTCCGTCGCAGAGGCTTTGGTGGAGTTGAATCTCCAGAATCCCGAGAAAGACCGAGAACAACTCTGTTGCTTCTTCCTCTCGGATGGTGGATGATGGTGATGGTGATTCCCACAACAGCTTCCACCATGAGTCATGTTTCTCCTGGTGAGGTAACGAGCGGTAGCCATCATGGCTCCAGATTTCCTGGTGATGGCCCAAAACGCCATATTTGCCCAGAAACTGAATCGAAGGGATGTTCTGGAATCGAAAAAAGTTACCCAGAGACAGTTTAAATCTGGAGTGAAGTTCAAAAGGTTATGGTGATATTAAGGAGGGGAGATTGTTGAGTGTATGTTTTCTCCAAGCTCATCCTCATCGGCACCTCGCCCAGGTCCCCAATTTCAAAATCCCCCTTTAATTTTCAATGAAATAGAATCCAGATTTCAGAAATTTCTAATTGAGAGAGGTTTCGGTTTGTGGGGGATTTAGGTTTCTGAACGACAAGGACTACCACGGGGGCTACAAACAGAGCGAGATCGAGGAGGTTTTCACGGCGATGGAGGCGAATTACGAGGCATGGGTGCAGGGATTCGCGTCGCTGGCGGTGGGGGCGGACGTGCCGGCGGCGGTGAGGGAGTTCACCAGGACGATGTTCAACATGAGGCCGGACATCAGGCTGTTCGTGTCGAGACAAGTGGAGGCGAGGAGGCCGATCATGGCGGTCGACGCGGTGGGCGTCGAGGATGTTGAGGAGGTCGTCGACGTAAGGGTCGAGGGTGGTGTAGCGGTGGAAGTCGAAGTAGTCGGGGTTGACGCTGCCGGCGCAGACGAGGTCGTAGAGGATGACGGTGGTCACTCTCAGTCAACCCTCAAATTTATTTTATTTATTATTTTTTAATTGCCACGTCACCGAGTTAACGGTCAACTTTGAGGGTTGACTGCCACATCAGACAAATTTAACGGAGTTGGACGGAGAGTGACCAAATTTGAACCATTTAACTAATTTGAGTGACCAAAGTTGGATTTAAATATTTTCAGTGACCCAACATGAACGTTTTTTGTAATCTCAGTGACCAACCATACAATTTACCCCACAATTTAGCTATCACTTTTCTTGAAAAAAAGACATAATAATGTCTCTAGTGGTAACACTTTAGGAAAGTATATAAAAAAAAAAACGCGCAAGACAAATCTCAACATGTACATCGAATACCAAAGAGGATGTATGTTGAATTTGGCAAATTTCATATCGAATCATCGATAAAGTATAAGAGAGATCTATAATTTATAAGGAATATCAAACCTTAACTTAACTGACAAAGAAACATTTTTAGGTTTAAACTTTGCATACAACAATTGCCCTTACCCTAAAGAGTGTTACACTCTATTCTCGAAGGAAGGAAGGAAAATGGAGGGGAAGGAAAAATTGGAGGGGAGGGAAATGAGGGGGGGGGGGGGGAATTGAAGTGAAAGTAAAATGTTGTTTAATGGAGGAAAGCAAGGTTGTCAACCCGTGGGTTGACCCGGACCCGGTCGAGCTAGTGGGTCAAGGGTTAATGGGTCAACCGTTTTAGCCCGGTTTGGCCCGGAAATATAAAAAGATTTACTTATCCTCATAAATTATATCAAATCTTATCTAACATATGAATTATAACATATAATATTACACCAAAATAACATATCGTACTTAGATCCAACATATAGTGAAAATTCACACACACTTCTATAACATAAATGTTCAAATGTTCAACTTAGTATTCCAAAGATTGAGTTAGACGAAAAGAAAAATTGGAAAATAGGCGCATTTCGCAAACTAAAGAAAAAAATGACACAATTTGACCTCCAACCCGGTACCTTATAGCGGTTGGCCCGGCGGGTGCGTGCGACCCGTTTTTCTCACCGGGTCAGGGTTAAATTGGGTCGACCCGTGGGTCAACCCGCGGGTTGACAACCTTGGAGGAAAGTAAATGAAAAAGGAGGAGAGAAAAAGTATATTGGGAAGTGTGATAGATATATTATTTTATTGATTATATAATAGTAAAATAGTTTAATTATGTATTGATATTATTTTCGTTACTTTTAAATAGCGAATCAAATTATTCTTTCGTAACAATTTTACGTCTTACGTAACAATTTTATTTATCACGTAAAACAATGTTATACATGACGTAAATAAAATCACTCCAGTGCTTAATTACTTTTTTTCTTACAAAAGATAATTATATATTGATTGGAACAAATCGATAATTACATCCTCGAATTCAGCCAGGTCTGAAAATCAAAATAACGACACGTAGACGAGAACAAAGACAGGGCCTGACTAACTACCAAATGAGCTAACCTATTGTCACCCCGACCTACAAATAACACACTGAAGCCCGGCTTCAAAGCAAAAATTTGCACAATCTCCTCGAAAATAGCCCCTACTCGACTATCCCGCACATCGTCCCGACGAATTTTATCAATGACCACCTTGGCGTCACCTTCAAACCGCATTGTCAAAAATCCCTGCACCAAACACCAACGGACTGCCTCACGAAGGGCAAGTAGCTCTACCACCATTGGATCATCAATCAGAGGGAACTGAACCCCCGCAGCCCAGAGGATCACCCCCGCCTCATTGTGGATAACCATCCCTCCTGTAGAGTGAAACCCCCTTCGAACTGCCCCATCCCACCAACACACAGGCCCCCCTGACCCACCCAAGGTCACCGTAGGAGTCATATGAGTAGCCAGAGGGAGGGGTCGAGGATCACTAGGCAAGCAAAGCCATTCCCCTAACTGCCGATTGTACTGTCTCATTAAAGCATGAATCCCGAACTGTTTCCCTTCAAAGACCACCTAATTCCGGGATCTCCATATCTTCCAGAGGACAACAATCACTGCCATGAATTGCGAGGGTTAGTGTATGATAGACAGTAACTTCTTCAGGAAGAGAGGGAATGTATGTCGAGGCAATCCTTCACCAAGATAATCTAAACCAGACTGGGTCCACAGCGCCCTGGCCACATGACAGTCAAGGAACAAATGTTCCATTGTCTCCAATGTAGCCCAGCAAACAGGACAACGGGGTAGGACCACAACTTTCCGCTCAATAAGCGCCTCAGTCGTCGGTAGAATTCTATTCAAGATTTGCCAAGCAAACACCTTCAACTTCGGAGGAATGTTAGCCTCCCACAACCAGATCCAAGTAGGCTTATCCATCCAGCTAGCCTGCGCCCGCCATCGTCCATTCTGTTGATCAAGGCAAACCGCAAAGTGGTAAGCCAACTTCACATAAAAACACCATCCGCGGTGGCATGCCAGACCAGACGATCCTCAATATTTTGCCTTGGGAGGGGCATAGCCTTAATTGCCTGGCATGTTGGGGGGGGGGGGTCAAACCACTGACTAAGCTTATTCTCACACCAGCGCCCTTCTCTTGGGCAAAGAACTGCAGAGACCGTCACATCCCCTCCCTTAGGCAAGACCCGCGTGTTATACACAAGGGGGAATGGATGCTGCTGCGGGATCCAGTTTGAATTAAGCAAAGGGGTCGTCTGGCCATTACCAATCTGCCATCGTAACCCCTTAGTTAACAACTGGAACCCAAAAATTATGCTCTGCCATCCCCAAGACGGACGAGACCGAGTTGTAGCCTAGAGAAAAGATCCCTGCGGAAAGTATTTCCCTTTATTAACCTGGGCTAGGAGGGACTGGGGTTCATTAAGGATTCCCCATCCTATTTTCGCCAATAAAGCTTAATTAAACTGTTCGAACCGACGAAAACCCATCCCCCCTCATGTTTACTTCTACACAGATTTCGCCAGGAGACCCAACGAATCCTGGAGTGTCCGTCCTCTATCGCCCACCAAAATCTAGCTACATGATTGTCCAGGAGGCGACAAAGAGACAGAGGAAGCCGAAAGCAGGACATCACATGGAGCGGCATAGCTAAAGCAATAGATTTAATCGGAGTTTCTTTAGCTTCCCAAGACAAAGTCCTTCGTTTCCATCCTTGTAAGCATTCTAAAAGCTTCTCCTCCAAATAGCGGAATGTTGCCATCTTGGAACGAGCTATAAAAGTAGGGAGGCTAAAATATTTATCCTGGACCCCTATCGCACCCACCCCAAGGACTGCAGCCAAGAACTCTTGATCTGGCAAATAAATGTTCTTACTGAAACAAACCACCACTTTATCCAAATTCACTTTCTGGCCACTAAGCTCCTCATACTCATTAAGAACTCCTATCAGGTTCTCACACTCCTGGAGAGAACCATGGAGGAACAAATAAGAATCATCAGCAAAGAACAAATGAGATATTCGGGAAGCCCGAGGAGCCACCTTGACCCCTTCCAGCCTTTTCTCGGAGATGGCCTTATGAATTAAGGCAGCAAACCCCTCCGCGCAAAGCACAAAGAGTAGAGGAGAGGGAGGATCCCCTTGCCGGTGACCCTGGAAGGCACAAAGAAACCAGACGGAGAACCGTTCATGAGAACTGAGAACGTTGTCGATTGTAAGCATTCATGTATCCAACCTCGCCAGACAGAGTTAAAACCCATCTTTTCCAAAATCGCAAGAAGAAAGGACCATTCAACTCTATCATAGGTCTTTTCTATGTCAACCTTTAGATCCATGTATCCCTTTTTTCCATGGGTTTTGATTTTCAAATAGTGCATTAACTCGTGCGCAATGAGGATATTATCCACAATCTGTCTTTCCCGGATAAAGGCATTCTGCCCTTCCTAGATAATGAGAGGCAATAGCCCTGCAAGCCTCTCCGCCATAATTTTAGTGATCACTTTGTACACAAACTAGCATAGACTAATGGGGCGAAGTTGACTCATTGATTCCACTTGATCGAGTTTTGGGATTAGCGTCAACCATGTGTGATTGAAACGCCGGAGCATCTTGCTTGTAGCAAAGAATGAGCTGACCGCTGCAACAACTGAGTCCCAACAATCCCCTAGTAGGCTTTAAAGAATTTACCCGTGAAACCATCCGAGCCTGGCGCCTGCTTCAAACCCATCACAAAGACCGTTTTACGAATCTCATCAGGGAGGACCTCTGCAATTAGGTTAGCATTCATTTCCGGGGTAACACTGGATGGAATGGGGAGGTCAGCCACTCTCGCAGCCATATTGTACACCTGAGATTTCGAGGTGAAGAGAGTTTGGTAGAAATTGGTCACAATTTCAGCCTTCCCCTGTTCCTCTGTGATCCAATTACCATCATCATTAAATAGGCCCCAGATAAAATTTCTTTTGCGCCAGGTTCGCGTGACCGTGTGGAAGTAGGACGTATTCTTATCACCTCTTTTCAACCACCAGACACACGATTTTTGTTGCCAATAAAGTTCATCTGCCTCCCATTGTCTATTTAATTCAGTTTTCAGGCTAGTCACCTCCTGCCAATTAATCGGATGAACATATTTTATCGGGTCAATTTCATAGTGGTACTCGCTCTGCTCCAGTCATAGAGCAAATGGCGAAGCTTTTTTAGTCGCTCCCACAATTGGAACTTCGGAGTACCATGAATTGGCTCCTGCCAAATGTACGAAACCATAGCCTTGACTTCAGGGTTTTCTGCCCATGTGGCATCAAACCGAAACAGAGGGCAACACATTCAGACATAGGGTTTATCAAAAAGAAGTAAAGCTCGATGATCAGACCCTTGATCAGTGAAATGTTTCACTAGAGTTTCTGGGAAACAATCCATCCAACTTTGGGAACAGAGTGCCCTATCTACCTTCTCACGAATACATGCCAACCCCATATGTTTGTTTGTCCAGGTGAAAGGGTCACCCTGGTAGCCTGGGTCGTGCACCCTGAGGTCTTGAACCAGATTACGGAGGTCCATAGATTGGGAAGCACTCCACGGGTTACCACCATCCTTTTCTCTCTCGTTGAGTGTGGCAT